GCAGTTACTCTTTTGAAACACTCAAAAAATTGTTCTTTCGGGTGGTTACATTGTTAATTCCATAGTAGCATTTACAATATCACTACTGTTGTCAGGGCTTGGACTGCCTTTGCTCTCGACAACATTTGCTTGTGACATGACCAATTCTATGTCCTTAACTTCCACACCTATTTCATCAACCTCTTCCTCTTGTACAGTTGGGGGTCTGTGTGTTTTCTTGAATGTTTGAGACAGCTTCGCCTTGAACTTAGACTTTCTCAGCAGCTGTTAGCTGTGCTTGCTGAGATAAATCCTCGATCTTGGCTTCCCGCAAAATTATGTAGGTATCTGAAGCTGGGCTCTTGTAGACATCTGGTTTTACGATGATGAAAGAGGATATTCTCAGATTTCCAGATAGTGACTCTAGTAACCCCTGTAACCTGTCAAAGACCCAGTTTGGACATAGCCTTCCATGCCTTCTTTTCATTTCGGCTCCGTTTTGCTCTACTGACTGGTTCTTCATCGATTTCAGCTGCTGCTGCTGTCAGCTGGGCTTGTCCTGGGGTTGTCTGTGTGGAATCCTGTTCCTCAAGCTCCGGCACTGACTCATCACTGTCTGATTCTGTCTCAGCCTGGGGCTGTGGCAACTCCGGCTCTGTAGCAGGGACGGTTTCTGTGGCTTCACCGGGCGTTTTGTGCAGGGAACATGGAACCAAGACGGTTTCAGAAAGAGAGCAAGCGAGAGCATGACCCACGCCCGTCGCAGGAGGAAGCCTGGCGGAGGGGCATATTATAATTGCTTTTGAACATTTCAGTGGCCATAGCTCTCTGTGAGGAGAGGCTCTGTTAGCCTTTGAGACCGAAGAATTAGTTCTCTTGCTCTGGGAAGCATGGGAGGTTTTAAATGGAAAAGCCTAGGTTTTCTTGATGAGAAGAAATCTGTGATGGGGCATTCAAATGCAAAGCATCATTTTTTTTAACTGAAGCATAGTTGGTTTACAATATCGTGTCAGTTTCAGGTTTATGGCAACGTGATTCAGTTATATACATATTTTTCAGATTCTTTTCCATTACGGGTTATTATAAGATACTGAATGTAGTTCCCTGTGCTATACAGTAGGTTGTTGTTGTTTATCTATTTTGTACACATTAGATTGCATCTACCCATCCCAAACTCCTAATTTATCCCTACCCCTACTTCCCCCCGGTAACCATAAATTTGTTTTCTATGTTTGTGAGTCTGTTTCTGTTTTGTAAATAAGTTCATTTGTATCATATTTTAGATTCCACGTAGAAGTGATATCATGTAATATTTGTCTTTCTCTGTCTGACTTAGTTCACTTACTATGAGAATCTCTAGGTTTATCCAAGTTGCTGCAAATGGCATTATTTCATTTTTTTATGGGTAAGTAGTCCATTGTATATATATACCACATTTTCTTAAACCAATCGTCTGTTCATGGGCACTTGGATTGTTTCCATGTCTTGGCAAAGCATCTTTTTTTTTGAAAATATTTTTGGAGAGCTGCTAATTAGCAGTTTCTTCATAGTTGTTCAGGTGTTCCTGGAAAAGAACCTCTAAGAAACCATCACCTTCTATGACAACAGTTCAGGCCACTCAACTATCAGCTCAACCCCTGGTCCTCAGCAACACACAAGCAAAATGAAACCATGCTTCCTGGGACCAACATGGATCACAGAGAGACTCCTGCCTTCTGTGGATCCTTTTTATAATATGCCTTTTCACAGCAAAGCCGGCAAACTCATCAGCTAGTATTGGGACATTTTTAACACCGTGATGAAAACTAGGAGGCCATGGAGAGAAGTGATTTATCAACTGCAGGTGCCTTGAAGATGTCACAGCCTGAACATAAAACTGTTACGACCCTGAGAAACCTTAGGTTCCCGATGTTACAGTTTGTTCAGCCATCTGGTTTAATAAGTCTAATGAAGATGTTCTGTAGTAGTCCTTAAATTCTCACGATGAGACGTTAAGCAAATGAGGACCTCAAAGAGTTGTCCCCAACAAGCAGAAGACAACTGAGCATCTCTGCTGTAAAGATTCCCCCAGATTCACTTAAATGCAAAATGCTCTCAAGTCTACACAGCACTTGAAAAGAAGCAAAGCCCCAGGGCGAGTGGGTATAGCTCAGTGGTAGAGCACATGCTTAGCAATAAAAATAAAATAAAATAAAAATAAAATGTTATTAAAAAAATGGAAGAAGCCCCAGCCTAACGTGAGTGGTTGAAAGACAAGGTCAATGCAGAAAGGCATTTATACATCACTGGGAAAGGTGTCTGGGGTGGGGGGAAGGGGAAGTAAATACTAAAATCATCTTTTTCTGAAGTAATCACCTGTTTGTTCCAGAAAAGGTTAAAATTAGTCATCTCTCTCCCTGTGTCTCCTCCACCCACCTCCTCCACAGCTCTTATGATTCCCAATAGCCAATAATCACTGCGGCCAAAAGTAACTGATGGTCACGCATGCACGATCATGTACAGAAAATGATTTATATTCTAAAATACAAATGAACAAAATGAGTAAAATATGCATACGCATCGTTACTGAAGGTTACCATAGAGACAGTCGGCCTTACTCTTCCCAGTTTTATTGCTTGTCATTATTCTGGAATGCATCCGCTATAATTATATTCTTCCTAGAAAACTCACACACACACACACACACACACAGACACACACACACATCTAGGCTAAACACAGTCAAGCAACGAATTCGTACAAAATTTAGGTTATGCTATTATTTCGTCTGTGTTCTTGGAACCATAGAGATTCAGAGCAGCAAGAGCTCTCTGTCCAGACCCTCATTCCAACATACTGTGCTTGCAGCTGTAGAAAATGAGGTCAAAGCCTGAGATGGGAGTTAGGAGCAGGCTTCTAACTGGACTCCGAGTGCACTCCTTCTCCCTAGAGTAAGATGGCACAGAAGAGACCCTGGAAAATGCTAACTTCCGGGAAGGGAGTCCCCTTTTGACACTGGGGAATGATGTCCATCATACAGAAAGCACTATTGTGAGGACATTACCAAAGCCTGGAAGTGTGAATTTTTTTTTTTAATCTCAAATTGTATCGTCTAATAATGCTTTAAAATGCAAATATCACTTCTTGATGCTATGCTGCCAGGGAAATTAACAAGTGCCCGCTGCAGTTTTAAAAACTGCATTTCCAAAATAGACACATAACTCCTGATTTCTTGGGTATGTTATCACATAAGGGGCTGGCTTATAAAATTCCAACTTAAAAACAAAACAGGTTTTCCCCAAATGCTACTTTAGGAAAGTGTTGGAGGAAAAGGGAGGGAGGGGATAAGGAGGGGCGTTAGAAGGTTATTATAGGGAAAGTAAGAAACATCACAGCATTGCAATAAGAAATTTAAGATGTCAGAAAAACAACAAGTTTCTACTGTAGAGCACAGGGAACTATATTCAATATCTTGTAGTAACCTTTAATGAAAAAGAGTATGAAAACAAATATATGTATGTATATGTATGACTGAACACCAGAAATGCTGTACACCAGAAATTGACACAACATTGTATACTTACCATACTTCAATTAAAAAATGAAAAGAAATTTGAGATGTCTATCCTTCCTTCAAAAAGATCGCAGAACAAACTGGTGGTTGCCAGAGGGGAAGAGCCGGGGGGACGGATGAAATAGGCGAAGCGGATTAAGAGGTACAAACTTCCAGCTATAAGATATGTCACAGTGAGGAGGGTATATAGGTCAGTGGCAGAGCACGTGCCTAACATGCATGAGGTCCTGAGTTCCATCCCCAGTACCTGCATTTAAATAAATAAATAACCTAATTAATCTCCCCCCAAAGCCCCAAAAACATACCAAAAAAGATATGTCAGGGGTATGTAATGTACATATAGGGAAAAAGTTTCATAATATTGTAGCAGCTTTGCGTGGTGATGGACGGTAACTGGTTTTATTATGGTGATCACTTCATAATGTATAAGAATATCAAATCACTATGTTGTACACCTGAAACTAATGTAACATTATATGTTAATTATAACTCAATAAAATATCTCAGTATGCAATGATTAGGTGTTAACTGAACTTATTGTGATAATTTCACAATATATACATATATCAAATCATCATGCTGTACACCTAAAACTAATACAGTGTTATTTGTCAATTATGTCTCAGTAAAATTGGGGAAAAATAAATAAAAAAATTTTTAAAGCTCTCAGAACACACACCACCACACACACCAGCTTGTGTTCAGTACTCACTTTCCCTGCACACTCAGATCTCTTTGCTAAGAGATTTAGGGCTTCCGATGTAGTCAATGACAGGTAATATGTATGCACTTAATATAGTTCCTTGTCATTTAATTCAGTACATTCAATAAAAGTAGCCTATTTGATGTATCTAACTCTGCCGGGGCTTCCTCTTGTCTATCTCCAGCAAAACAATTTCTTTTGGTGTTTTCTGCTGAGTTTTAACATCAGAAAAGATGTAAGCTTTGGACTGTGATTACTATAAATTCTTTTCATTCTCCCAAAACACAAAATAATCTTTAACTTGTTTTCTCATAAATAAAGTTACTTCCCCTGAACACCACAGCACAGTCTGAAGCTCCCGGTATCTCTGGGTCCTGTAAAAATGAAGACGCAGCCTTGTGTGGTTCTCTGATGGGAATCCTCAGAACATGCCAAAAATAGGGATGGAGATATGGATAAATTACACTGTAGCAGTCAAAGCAGGTGATGTTCAGTATCTGCTTGGGCACCAAAATAACCACCTCCTCTTTTTTCTATCCTGGGTTAAAACAAAGAGCTACCACAAATAGCTGAAATTGGGGAAGGGGGAGGGGAATTCCACCTTTGTTAAATTGCTCATTTTCAAACCACATGCCAGAACCGCTAAGAAAGTAGCAATGCCCCATGAACCTGAGCTATCCCTCCGGTGCCCACCCTTTTCATCCACCATGGCAGGGTGCAAAGAGATAAAGCTAGGGTACGAGGGGATCTAAAATAATTAACTGTCTGCAGTCAATTAAGCTGACTGCTTTTTTCCTCATGGGGCCGAATGTGCAATGACTGCAAACAGTATTCTCCTCAGTAGTGTATGCAGCCTGTTGCCCATATGGGTTGCCCCAAAGGGACCTTGGAGACAGCCCTGAGACAGCCCTTTCCAGTGGACATTCATGTCTGGCACACTGTCCCCAACCTAGGCTCCAGATGGGTATGCACAGTGCCTTTGGAAAGCCTCATGGCACAGTGGCCAGGGTCCACACTGGCCAAGTCACCATGTCCAAGCGCACCAAGCTCCAGAGCAAGGAGCATGTGATTGAGGCCCTATACAGGGCCAAGTTCAAGTTCCCTGGCCGCCAGAAGATCCACATCTCGAAGAAGTGGGGATTTACCAAGTTTAATGGAGATGAATTTGAAAACATGGTGGCAGAAAAGTGACTCATCCCAGATGAGTGTGGGGTCAAATATGTCCCTAATCGTGGCCCCTGGACAAATGGCGGCCCCTGCACTCATGAGAACCTTGGCGCTGTCCCCTCCTTACTCACGACCACCAACAAATCCTACTTTCCTGTCAATAAATAAATAAACTGATCTCTAAAGAGTTGGCCCTACGAACATGGCTCATTCCTTCAAACTATAGAAATACATTTTCTATTTTTAATGTTTATTAAAATATAGTTGATTTACAATGTGGTGTTAGTTTCTAGTATATAGCATAGTGATTCTGCTATATATATTTTATACATATATATATATATGCACACACACACACACATTCTTTTTCATTATAGCTTATTACAAGCTATTGAATATAGTTCCCTGTGCTGTACAGTAGG